ATCCTGGTCTGTGTCTCGGGAGCAGACAGGCCACGCTTCCAGGGGTCCCTGGGCAGTGTGGGCCCAGGAGGGGCTCGCTGTCCAGCGTGTGACGGTCAGCAGAGCAGCTGGCAGGAGCCGCAGACCGCCCGCGACGGTTTGCACATCAGTTCTCTCGTTTCATCCCCAAACCCTGTCGAGGGGGCACAGTGGCCCATTTCACAGGTGGAGAAACCGAGGCCCACATTCAAGGGGGTGGTGGAGGCTGCACGTGGACCCCCCTGTGCTGCCGAAAAAGCAGGGTCACCCGGGACAGGGCCAGGCAAGACCTCGAGCCCCGCTCCACACCTGTCTCCCTGTTCACCTCACGACGCCTCTGCGCTCGGTAGTTTTAGGACTGACCCATTTTACAGGTGAGCAAACCGGGACCCAGAGAGGTCTGTCCCTTAGACCATGAATAAACAAGACTGAAGAGAAGCGGTCTGTCGGGTGGAGGGGAGTCCTGCTCCGTCAGACCTGGGCGCGGAGGCAGCTTGTGACTCTGAGTGTGCATGTCGAGGGCGGCATATGCTTCCCTGGGAGCTGCCCCACCTCCCCGGGGCTGTGTGCCAGGCCGGCCATCTGCTCTGGAGCCGGGCCTCCCCCCCGCCGACAGTCACCTTCTCCTGGAACGACCGGCTCCCAGCAGGCTGCAGCCGGTGAAGAAGCTCCAGGAAACAGACCTGCAGCCTGCTCTGTGCCTTGTCTGTGTGAGCAGCCCTGCGGGGTCTTCTGCAACCGTTCCTCCTGGGAGCGTGCGGGCCGGGGAGGAGGGAGCGTGTGGCCCTCCTGGGCTCCTGCTGAGGGTCTGGCCACTGGGGCTCTTGGGCAGACCCTGTCCCCTGCCTCCCGCTCTGTTACAGCAGCCCCTGGGACTGCAGGAGGTCAGACCAGGTCACTGCCTGGCTGGTCCCTCCTCTGCGTGGACCCCCCACCTCTCAAGACTGTTCCCGCATTCTTCCTGGCCTGGGGTGGGCAGGGCCCCGCGTAGGACGGCTCTCCTCCCCGTGGTGGGACTCTCGTTCTCTGCCTGCCTTCCCGTCTGCTCCCTGCAGTCCTGCCCCGTGGTCCCCGCTCTGTTCCGGGTGCTTCTCCTAACCCGCGCTGGCGGCCGCGTTCTCTGCCAGGGCCTGTCTCCCCCGGGGACGGCGCTGGGCGTCCCTCTCCCTCCCTCGCGTCGGTGTTTCTGGATGATCCCAGAGGAAGGACTGCGGTGCCCGCCGCCCTGGGAGTGCCCAGGGGCCTTGCCCAGGTGTCGTGCGTGGGATGCCGACTCTGCGGGTTGTCCTGGCCTCACCCTCGCTCTCTGTCCTCAGCTTCCCGGCGTCGCTGGTGTTTGCTCACTGGCCTCTTGGGTGCTGTTCCCAGAGCTGAAATGGTGTCTTGTGAAACCCTCACCCAGCAGGGCTGCGGGCGGGCAGCAGGCGGGGGAGAACGTTCCAGGGGTCCGGGGCGGTGTGCCCTTTTCCCAGAGGACACAGGGTGCACACTCAGGTCGGGAGCGGCTGCATGTGCGTGCGGGAACAGGGCGGGGGCCTGGGAGCGGGGGGACGGCTAGACCTCAGATGCGGTCCTCCGATGGACCGGTGAGCAGAGGCTCCTCCACAGCAGGTGCGGGGAGACGGGAGGGGCTGCCCGGGGAGGGGGTGCCCTGAGGGGCAGGTGGGTGAAGAGGAGCCACAGCCTGGGCCGAAGGTCGGAGCCTGGGGGCTGCGGTGGGTGGAGGGATCCAGGCAGGGGGCTGGGGAGGGGGGTCATGTAGTCCGTCCGCATCTAACTCAGCTGAGCGCATCCTCGGAGAGGAGACCCACAGACCCACGAGGCTTCTGCCCTGGAGGGACCTCCCAGTCGGGGGAGGAGGAACAGAGCTGACTGTGGGTGAGTCATTTGGATGGCGACGGGCGCTTAAGACCCTACCCCCGAAGCAGTCAGAAGAAGCCTGAGACCCAGGACATGGCGCAGCAGGGTCAGGAACGGGTGCCCGCCTGACCAGCTCTCGGGAGCCGACTGTGTGCACCCCTCCCCCACGCCCTCTCCCCTGGTGTCATGTTAATAACTTGAAACCTGCTGTGTTGAGAGCATTTACACCATGGAAATTGGCAGACAGTACAAATCAGGCCCATCCACCGTGGTTATTAAATGCTTAGCAGCACACCACCATTCCTGTAACTGAGCGCTGAGAAGGGGAGCCCTCAGCTGGGGAGCGAGGGGACGAGGGTGTGACCGCAGGGCGGCAGCAGCTTCGTTGTGATGCAGCGGAAAGAGCAGAGGGCTCCGTGGCTTGGGTCCAGGGAACAGTGAATGTGGGAGCGCTCGGTGGGGGGGCTGATGCCTCAGGGTTGGGGTTCAGGCAAGAGTTGGATCCAGGAACCAAGGACACCCCCCCACACACACGGTGGCAGCAGCTCGGATTCAGACAGGGCCAGTGCAGAGCGCGAGTCTGTGGAGAAGCCCGGCCTGGGCCGGGGGAGGTGAGCCTGCAGGTCTGCCAACCTGTGGGGAGAGAGCTGTGCTTCCCGCATGGGTCTGCTTGCCTCTGGAAGGGCGGCGACAGCATGCCCCAGAAGCCTCCTCAGTCCAGAGGAGCCTGTGATTTCCCCAGCGCGTCCCCCCGGGAGTCGAGTGGCTCCACAGTGGCTGCCAGTCTCCACGCCCGAAGGGCAGCCCTCCCGCCCCTGGAATCCCACACGGCTTCTGAGCAGCGTCGCTCCCGATGGAGGTACCTCTCCACCTTGGCCACCCGGTGGGACCTCTGGGCCCTCCGCGACCCGGACCCGTTAACCAGAGGTGCGTCCAGGCTGGGATGCAGTCAGGCATGGTGGAAAGCTCCCCGGGTGACTCCCAGGGCGGAGAACGCCGGATGAGACCTCCGGCCTCAGAGCAGTGTTTTCCACACTGCCGGCTCCGGGGTGGGCCCTCTTAGCAGGCCGTTCCAGGCAGCGATGCTGAGCGCTGCTCCCAGAGATGTGAAATGAGCCCCTGAGATCACTGTGCGCCCCGCGGGCCGCGACCGCAGGGAGAGGCTGGCTGTCGCGTGACCCGGCTTGTCCACCTGCATTAACTGTGGGCTGAATTAATCCAGCCGCTGCCGCGCTCCCCAAGGACTGGAAAGTGCTTCAGCTGTTCCTTCTGGGAGCGCAGCCCCTGGTGCAGCTGGAGGTGACGGCTGTTTCAAGTTTCCAGCACACACCAGAGGAGCTGAGACAATCCCATCCGCCGACCCCAAGGGCCAGGGTCAGGGGAATCGGGCCAGACCGATGTCCGATCAAGTGGAGGGGGCTGGATGTTGTGTGCTGCAGTAAAAAGAGTGTGAAAGTGTCTCCTACATTTTAGGCAAGGGTGGGAAGGACAGATGACAAAGTCAAATGAGGTCAGTATGCTGCTTCTGCGCTGCTCAGAGCATGACGCACGTGGTCGCTCTGCCCCGCCGCATCCTGGCAGACGGGAGCTGCAGAGAGAACACAGGAGCTGGTTCACCCACCACACGCACACATGCCGCATGCTGCGGAGCACCGCCAGGCTGGCACAGCTCTGGGTTCTGCTGGCAGCACGGTGGGCAAGGCTCCTGGCTTCTCGGGCTGACCTCCAAGGGGAGGAGAGAGCCGGGAACTGAGCCCGCAAGTGAATAGCAAAGCAGTGGTGAACTGAGGTGTGCCCAGAGGGCCCGGTGCAAACCATGACGTGAGGTGAGGGCCCAGGGCAGGTCAGAAAGGCCCAAGGGAGGGCGGCCACTGCGGGGAGGTCTGCCGTGAGGCGCAAGCGTGAGGAGCCGCCAGGGGAGATCTGGGAGAGAGTGCTGCGGGGAGATGGGACCAAAGGCCCTGGGCCAGGATGAGCTGGGTGCCGCTGAGGAGACTGGAAGCCCCTTGTGAGGATGGGTGGGGAGCAGGGAGGTGCTGGGGGTCTGGAGAGACAGGGAGGGAGAAGGTGACCTGTCCTCTAAGCCCGGGAGGCCCAGTGAGATCCGGGAGAGGGAGGGCGGCATGCTCCGATCTGCATTTTACCTGCTTGCTGCGTGACTTCTCTGGTTTTCAGTCTCGGCTGTGAAGAAGGTCAAGTGTAGCGCGATAACAAGGATCAGAAATCCTGTGTGTGGGCTTAAGGGAGGGACCAGCCCATAGTAAATGCTCTGCAAGATGGCAGCTGCTGCCCCCCCACTTCCTTCCCCCCTCCCCCTTCCCCCCCTCCCCCTCCTCCGCATCCCCTCCTCTCTGGCTCCTGGCAGCCCCTGCCTTGCCTGGAGGGGGGTCTAGTTGCATAGAGTCCAGCATCTGAGCGCCCTCCTGCAACGCCCTCCCCGCACTGGGTGGCTCTGGGGCCCTGTCTGTGTCCCCGGATGGGCTCATCACGTCTCAGGCTTTCGGGGGGACTGGGCGCCCAGCCAGGCTCTGCCGCCAGTCCCGTGGCTTCCTCTGCACGGGGCTTGGGTGCAGGCTGCCCTGTTTACTTCGGAGCCTCACACCTTCCTCCTTCCTTCCTTCCTTCCCATTCAAACCCCATTTGCAGCGTGCCCAGCACAGCTCAGAACTGTGCCAGGCGCAGAGAAGCAGAGAGAGTCCATGTGTCCTCAGCGAGGCTGCGGGGGTGGGGAGGACGTACACGTGTGGAATGAAGCGGGGCACCCAACACTGGGTCGGAGGGGGGGGGTGTCTGCGTACAAGTGACAGGCCGCCTCGTGTCCCCACAGCTCCACCAGCGCAGGGCCGGGAGCTGTGGCTTCAGGGCCCAAACAGCAGCCTTAGGTCTGGGGTCCCCTGGCCACGCGGCTCTCCTCTCTGGGGTCAGCTGTCCTCTGGGGCCGGCTCCCCTGGGCCCGGAGGCTCGGCTGGGGCCTCGCGGCCGCTCACTGAGGCCCTGACCACAGTGCCCCGCTTGCCTCCGACTGGGTGGCAGCCTCAGGGGCCCTGCCAGCCAGCAGCCTGGGCGGCCGCGAGCTCCCGGGACCCCGCCGGACCCCCTAACGGCCGTCTCTTGTCCCACAGGGCACTGGCGTTCGTGTCCCACGGAGCCGGCGAGCACTGCGGCCGTTACGACGAGCTGGCGCAGATGCTGGCGGGGCTGGGCCTGCTCGTCTTTGCCCACGACCACGGTGAGTACCGGCCCGCTCCGGGGCCCCCAGTCTGCCTCACCGCACCCTGCTCCCTCCTCGGGCACTCCGCTCTGCTTCCCGCCCTGAGGCCGGGGAAGGGCATTCTCCACGGGCTCGTTCTAACTGAAAAACAGGTAGTTCTGTAAGCAAAACAAGTGTCTGGCCCGCAGTTTCTGTTATGGCCGGGACTGAATGCAGGCCGATTGGAAGTCTCCGCTGAGAAGCCCCAGACTCAGGATACTTTTGTACGCGAGCTCGTCCCAGGCCACGTCGCCCTCTCTCACGTCTGTTAAGCGCCGTCCGTGAGAAACGGGCCTTGGTTTCCCCCCGAGGGACGGCGGGCGATGCTGCCCTCGGTGCAAGCCGGTTCACGGCCCGCGAGGGCCTCCAGGCGTGTCCAGGGCACTCCAGACCAGGGGGACAGTCAGGGTCTCGAGGGCCGTGCAGGCCTGAGAAACCCCCCAACACGGGGCTTGTTCACACGCACACACAGCTGCACGCCCACCCGTACACGCGCACGTCCGCAGGCCAGGTCTTTAATTCTTTCTTAGTAACGAAATTCACGGCAGCCATCAAAGCGCAGCGTCTGTTGCCCGAGTCTGTCTGTAGCTCCTTTGCTGGTCGGGCGGAGTTATCCGTGTCTGGGACGGCCCCCAGCCGAGATTTTTCTTTGCCTCAAGTGTTAACATGGAAGAGTCCTCGTGACTGAACATGGTGATTTCTGCACCGCTGCAAAGTAGAAATCTGTCACTGTGGCCCAGACGCAGAAAACTTGCTTCTGTTCCGGCCGGTGTGGAAATAATGAGCTGCAGAGGGGGTGGGGGGCAGTGCCGGGCCTGGGGCGTCCTGGTGACCAGGGGAAGCTTCGGGCGTTCTGTGTATAAGGAACTGCAGTTTGGTTTGTTGTGGTTCAGTCGTGTCGGACTCTTTGTGACCCCATGGACTGCAGCACACCAGGCCTTCCTGTCCTTTTCTGTCTCCTGGAGTTTGCTCAAACTCAGGTCCGTCGAGTCGGTGACGCCATCCAACCATCTCACCCTCTGTCGTCCCCTTCTCCTCCGGCCTTCAGTCTCTCCCAGCATCAGGGTCTTTGCAGGTCTTCACATCAGGTGGCCAAAGTATTGCAGTTTCAGCTTCAGCATCAGTCCTTCCAATGAATATTCAGGTTCAGTTTCCTTTAGGATGGACCGGTTGGATCTCCTTTTGAGTTGCGGTGCTGGAGAAGACTCTTGAGAGTCCCTTGGATGGTGACTTGGGTTACCAAGAGCCGTTTTCCTGCCAGATGCATGCGAGGCCCTGGTCCTTAGAACTGAGATTATTGACCACGGCCTTGCTCACTGTGGTCGCCGTGCGGTCTTGTGCTTTGCAGACATTCCCAGTGATCTCTGTGAGGCTGTCTGAGAGGTAACGTTCAAGGATTAGCCTGAATTCCACGGCGGGACTGTCACTATTTACTCTGGCACTTTCCACATCGTTAGGCTGTGGCGGTCATGACTTTCCTTCTATCACATTTGTCTCCGGTAACGTTTGTAACAAGGAGCTGAACAACACGGGGGCGTTCTGAAAGCAAAGAGTGTTTGTGTCAAACAAACACGAAACACCTTCAGGAATTTCAAGATAGTCTGGTTTTATCCTGGTGTCAACCACCCTCTATCAGCTGCCCTTGGCCAGGCCCGTAGGAGTGGGCAACTCTGTCATACCTTTGTTTGTGTGTGTGATCCTGGGATGCTGAAAACCAATTGGAAAGGTTTTTTGGATTTTTTTTTTAGAGTAAAGAGAAAAAAGAAACAACCCGCCTTTGATGTTACCGTGTGACATCTAACACTGAGGCCTGACTCTCGGTGACTTCTCAATATAGGTTGGCGACGGACGCTGGCGCTCACCTCGCTTGATTGAGTGGTCTCTTGCAGTGACTCGTGGGCGATCTCTCTGGCAAGTACCTGATGGCGGTGCTTTTACTCAAGACGTGAGCTGCGTGCCATCCTCGTCTGGCGCCGAGAGTGGCCGAGAATCCCTCCTCGGAAGGAGCGGGGAGCAGGGGGTTCCTGAGAGTGGCCGAGGCTCCCTCCGAGGGAGGAGCGGGGAGCGGGGGGTCCTGAGAGTGGCCGAGGCTCCCTCCGAGGGAGGAGCGGGGAGCGGGGGGTTCCTGAGAGTGGCCGAGGCTCCCTCCTCGGAAGGAGCCGGGAGCGGGGGTTCCTGAGAGTGGCCGAGGCTCCCTCCGAGGGAGGAGCCGGGAGCGGGGGGTCCTGAGAGTGGCCGAGGCTCCCTCCTCGGAAGGAGCCGGGAGCGGGGGGTCCTGAGAGTGGCCGAGGCTCCCTCCTCGGAAGGAGCCGGGAGCGGGGGGTCCTGAGAGTGGCCGAGGCTCCCTCCGAGGGAGGAGCAGGGTGCAGGGGGGTCCTGTGCTGGCTGAGGAAGTGGGTGCTGGTGGTTAGTGCCCGGAGAAATAAGTTCTCGTGGAGAGGCAGGGGCGGGGGTCCTGGAGGGGCTGGAGCCCAGGCCTCTGGTGCCTGCTTTCTCTCTCCACGCTGCTGCCCCGTTCACACCAGGCGTGACCCCTGTGGAGAGGGGCTTCGTTCTTCCCCGCTCAGCTGTTAGATATAAGCAGGCCTCTGTGGGGAGAGTATCAGAGCGTTGATGCGGCCAGGTGCAGGGAGAGAAAACTCTGCCCGAGGGCCCAGGGCCTGGCGGACGTCACCTCCCTGTCTCCAGGGTCTATAGTCGTTTGTCACCCCTCTGCCCCGGGGACCTGCCCCCCCAACCCCGCTCCAACCTGACGCAGACACACCCAGGCCCAGCCAGCTGGACTGTGATCCACCCGTGGACCTCGGACGCCCAGCCATTCCCAGCCTCAGTTTTCTCATCTGCCAAATGGGCAGGTGGTGCACTGACAGAGTGAGAATAGGCATGTGCAGGGCCAGCAGAGGGTGGTGGCGCCTCTTCTTCACTCTGCCAGTGGCAAGGCCCCCTCCAGCCCCCTTGCAGAGCAGCAGGTGCACCTGGACGGGGGACGTCGAGGCCAGGAGCAGGGGTGCTGTGTCCTTGGGTTCCCTTTCCGGCCGCAGAGGCTCCAGGGGAGATTGGCTGAAGGATAGACAATGCTTTCTTGAAGCGAACAGACCTACCAAGGGTCGTTTCAAGGCTCTTTCCTGGGACACAATCCATAGAAACACAGCTCTCTGCGAATCCTATGCTGACCCGATTTTAGGTTAAGTCTCGTTGCTCAGCTGAGCTCTGGGGTTTCCTTGTTCAGACGGAAACCTGGAAACATGGGCTGGATGGTCTGGCCGCGTCTCCCCACGCCCGGTGGCCTGTGGACACAGTTGCTCAGCTAGCATCTCGCTTAACTGTTTTGTTTTACCTTAGAATTTTACAGGCGACCTCATGGACACAGAGGACTTTGCCAGAAATGAGCACTTTATCCCTGCTGTTCATTAAGTGCCAGCTGCGTGCCGGGCTCTGGATGGGGCCCTTGTCATGCATTATCTCCAAGCCTCATAACACTTGAGTCCATGCCGATTCAGAGGTGAGGGTCGGAGGCCCTCCTCATCCACAGGGCGAATGAACGGGCGTCAGACCCCTGATCTTGGTAGATTATTTCAAACGAGGGGTTGTTTTTCTCCCAGGACAAGCAGAGCCCGAGGTGGGTTCAGGACACTGCCGGGCTGTCGGGCCCGAGGCTGCATCTGCTAGCTTTGCTCAGCTGTTCTTAGCACGTGGCTTTCATGCCGATGGGTGCCGGCTCCAGCCTGCGGTCTCGCAGGAAGGAGATGCAGAAAGCGGTGGAGAGGCTGGGCTGGGCTCCTGCCGGGAAAGCAGACCTGTCTCAGCGCTCCCGCCGAGTTCCACCACACTGCGTGCAGGGCCGGCACCAGTTGACTGCGTCCAGCGGTGGCGGGCAGGACGTCCAGCTGGTTCGCTGCGTGTTTGCTGATCCCGAGCAAACCAGGCTCTGTTAGCAGGGAGGACACAGCGTGGACACTCCAAGCACCCTCTCCTCTGCCGGCCACACCCCAGGCTCATTACTTAAGGGAGCTTTTCTCAACCGTTTCCACCTTGTGTATTTTCTGAGCCATGTTCAGCTCACCGTGTGACCTCTCTCTCACCCGTCCCCGTCGCTTTCCGAAGCTCCGGCGTGGAGGATGATGTCAGGATCATCAGTGCACTGCGTTCTGATGCGGTGAATGTTCGCGATCAGGTGGACGTGCCTGGTCGTGCGTTGGCCTTGGGTCAGGTGCTGTGTGAGGGGGAACGCGTGGACACGGGCCCTGCCCGATGTATGCAGCCCCCGTGAAGAGCCCAGTCTTGTCAGGGTTCTCACTATCCCTGGAGGAAACTCTCCCTTCTGCTGACGGCAGCAAGCTCCTGGCAGGTGGAGACGGTCGTCCCGCCCTTGGTCCCAGCCCCCTCCTTGCTGAGCAGAGTGTGGAGGCATCAGCAGGGTTTGTGGAATGAAAGGAGGAGTGTATGGCCCAGAGTGGATAAGAGCAGAGACGCTGTGAACGTCAGCAAACGCCCGCGTGCGAGTGTCCGTGTCCGCAGGGTGGGGAGGACCCCACGGCAGGGCCAGGACTCTGGGCTCTGGCGGGCGAGACTGGGGCAGAGGACCCCCGAGGCCCATAACTCAGGTGCTGCAGGTGGGCTCGGCCTCTTGCAAGTACACAGCCTCCCAGTGCCAGGGGCCAGCGGGATGCTGGGTTTTCTGGGGTGAGTAGGAGCTTGAGAGGAGAGCAAGGGTGTGGAGCCAGCGCCAGTCGCCGAGAGTCGTGGTTCGCACTGGGGTCCCCCCAAAACACCGGGGAGTCTTTGCCAGGGTCCCTTGTTCCACGGAGACTGATCTGTTGGGTGTGGCCAGGCGTGTCGGGACCCTTGAGCCCTCCGGGGTGAGCCTGATGAGCAGCTGTGGTTTGAGAACTGCTGTTTCAGGAAGGGGAGCCTGTGTGAGTGAAACCCAGATACACGGGCTCATGGGCTCACGTCCTTCCAGGGGAAGTCCCGGCCTG